CCTTTTATTGAGTTAAAAAAAAATTTACTTAAGATTCGTAATCAGCGACCCCAAAAACTCCCGGGTGCCCGGGAGCCGGGCTTCGAACAAAAGCAATCAGTTTTTAAAAAAATTATCGCCATTTTGGATCCGCCATTTTGAATTTTAAAAAACTGACCTCAGATTCTTAATTAGCAACCCCAAAACCCCCTGGTAACAATTTCCAACCCATGACAATGCGTGAATCGTTCAGTTTCAACGTTTTAATTTTAGTAGTATCATTTCAAAAGCATATTTTCGGGAACTAGTACAGGTATGTAATTAAGGGAATGTTCCCCAAATAGTACCAGAGTAATTATACGTAAAACCACATTTTTTGATGTATTTTTCCATGTCAAGAAAATAAAAAAAATATGACAACATCAACGTTTTTATAAAAAACCGACCAGCGTGACCTCTAAAAATTTTTTTTTTTTCAAAATAAAAAAAAACCGTTTCTGTTTTTTTATCACAAATAACAATAATTTGATGTAGCGTTTATTATTTTCCAGAAAGAGTGTTTTTATGAACCACTTTAATAAGTACAGATATAGATTTCATTTATTTTATCAATTTAATTCAACAAACTTTTTCAAACAGGTGGCAACCCTCCTAAAAATTTCTTAAACCTCTTCAGTTTGATACCCGTATTGCAATATTCAATTTGACCTATATTTTAAGCTAGACCTCTAGCAATACACTCGTGAATACCGCATTCAATTCCCTGCATTCGTTTTCGAGTAATGCGCGTGCAAAGATACAGAGAGACAGACAGACAAAAATTCTAAAAATGATTGATTTGGCTTCTATTGCTCTAATAAGGACCCCCAATATTAGTTTTTCTTTAATATCTATAATGTACAGACATTGCCCTGTTACAGTTTTATTATATGTTTAGATTTCAAAGCACGGCAAATTAGATCTACATACATACATATATAGTAAATGAATTTTAGAATTACCTTTTTGACAAAAAGAGTTATTGCTTAGATAAAGCTTTTTGAGCCATTATGCATATTTTTATTTTCAGATTAATGTAAATAATGAGGAAGTGAATTATGCAAAACCACTTTTTTTTACTTAAAATTCCGCACACAAACAATCAATAAAAAATCCTTAAATTAGTATTTATTCAGCTAAACAAGTTGAAAGGCAAACTCAAATTGTGGCTTGGAAATATGTGTTATGCAAATATGATTTATCTATATGTCTACATATGTACGTGTGTGTATTTGCAGCCAAACCGCTTTTCCACATGCAGCCGCAGAACACAGGATATAAATACGCATATTATGTATCTATAAAAAATACACATCAATAGCAAATACAGTAAAACCCGCTTAAGTACCTCACGAAAAATGTCAGCTTTTTGAGGTACTTAGACGAGTTGGGCACTTAAAAGAACCCGCTTAAGTACCTCGATGCGGGTACTTAAGCGAACATAATGATTGATGTAGTTAATCTTCTTGTTAACTTACATAAATAAGTTCTTGAATAAAACATGAACATTTAATGAACGCAGTTTAAAACTAAGATCATAGCATTATTTAAACACATAAATACATATACAAAAACTTTGTAAAAAATTGATAAAGCAATGTTATGTAATTTTTACAAGAATTCAATTCTTTAAGGTCATTGATAATAACGGGTGATTTTTTTGAGGTTAGGATTTTCATGCATTAGTATTTGACAGATCACGTGGGATTTCAGACATGGTGTCAAAGAGAAAGATGCTCAGTATGCTTTGACATTTCNGTCTAAAGTCTACAGAAATAAGCCAGCAACTATTCCAGCTTTGGAAGACAACATTTCCGAAGAAATTCGGGCTATTCCGGCCGAAATGCTCGAAAAAGTTGCCCAAAATTGGACTTTCCGAATGGACCACCTAAGACGCAGCCGCGGTCAACATTTAAATGAAATTATCTTCAAAAAGTAAATGTCATGGACCAATCTAACGTTTCAAATAAGGAACCGATGAGATTTTGCAAATTTTATGCGTTTTTTTTAAAAAAAAAGGTATCAAGCCCTTAAAAAATCACCCGTTACATATTTATACATACATACAGCGTTGGACACATCTATCATTTCGGACCAAATTCAAAATGATGTTGTTTGCCACTTATGCTTGTTTATTAATTAAAACACAGTTCATTAAAGCTTAAAATTTTTTATAACACTTAAAAAAAATTCATAAAATTCTCATCAAAATATCAAACTTTTTTCTTAGAAGTATTTAGAACCCATTCAATTTTTCAAGTTTCAAGTGGCCAAAAATTACCGTTAATTTTTTAGAATTTTTTTTGCCGAACGTGTTGCGGGAGCACTTAAAAGGGGAAAATTATGAGTGGAAAATTATAAATGGGGTACGAAACATTTAGGTACTTAGGCGGGTTGGGTAAATAAGCGGGGAGGTACTTAAGAGAGGGATTTTCTTCAGATTACATTAAAATATTCACGGTGCCCAAAATGTTGGTTACTTAAGCGGGTTTCACTGTAAATGAAGACACATCAATAGCAAACCTCTCTGAACTTGGCAGGACAACTTTTTCTCAAAGCAAAAATTCCTATCGCATAATTTGCCGTTAATTATCCGTAAATTATCCGTGAAAAGAATAATTTTGCCGCGGACATATTTTAAAAAATATCGCGTGCCCTGCTAACTTCTGAAAACCAATAAAGGAAACCAGCTAAACCCAAACAAACTACCTGATAATTTGCCGTAAATTAGCCGTTGTTTATCCGTGAAAAGAATTATTTTGCCGCGGACACATTTTAAAAAATATC